CAATCTAGCCGGCCACATACTCAACTCGCCCACAGAACCACTCTTTTGGTTCTTTATCTTTCTTTCTTGCTTGCTTTCTCTGTGGAATCAGGTATCGTACTTTTAGTGTGCACACCCCTAACCAGGATTCGAAGCCTGGCGGGCAGTCTCCAACCTCGTAACGTGGGAATGCACCGCGTTACATGATAAGTCTGTCGGATCGCAATATCCGTTACTTTCTCTTTTACTCCGAAAGGACATAGTCCCAACGGGTCATCCGAAACCTCACATATATAGATAGACAATATATATATATATATATATATATATATATATATATATATATATATATATATATATATATATATATATCTCATGCACCAAACTTATGCATGTCACATCTGAACAACTTCTCAATGCAACAAGGTAATGATATACCACATGCTCATGAATTTTGGAAAATAATACTTAGGCTCACGTTGGCCATTCTTGCTCTTATAAAAACATGATATGCTTAGAATGTAAATTACTGTGCAACATGCTTCAATTCTATATATTACTGTGAACTCTCAAAGGACACATAATCATGCTTGAAATTCATAATCTGACAAATATTAGCAAATAATTCTCAAGCATTTGGAACTCAAATTGCTCAATTTAAACTCATTCTCTGGATAATAACATTCAAGACTAACATGCTCTGAACACTCCAATACTTGGAATTTAACAAATAATCTCTATGAATCATATCATACTCCGTAGGCATACTTTTCGAACAAGACTTAATCAATTAATGATCATGCTTCTCAATTTAACAATCAAATAATATCAAGCAGTTCACATGGCCAAAACCAAGTCTGATGCTTCTCAAATAACATTACTATAACTCAATTGCTTCACAAAAACAATCACATAATGCTCATTTCTAATCCAAATTCAACGAAATCAAAGTCCAAACGTGTGTCATGACGGCCCCAAGGTACCGAGCCACAAGGACCCGTGACACGCCATCCAAAACGACACGTAGCTGAGCCACAAGGGCCCGGCCACTGCACAGACAAAACCAACGGAGCTTGCGGCGGGGCTAGAGGAGCCCCGCTGCCTGGGACCGCCTCGGCAGTGGCCTAGGGCCACGGCCCTTGCCTAGGGCTGTGCCTTAGGGCCGTCCCATCACGGCTCTATCCAGCGGCTCCCCTCGTGGGCCGTTGGCTAGGCCCGTGACTTCTATCTGGTGCACACTGTGTTGTGCACCAGAGACTTCTTCTTCACCTGTAAAGCATTTTCAGACAAAATTCCACTTCCAAATCATCACCAACACATTATACAACATCAACAAGTCATCTAATAGCTCAAACACACAATATTCAAGCATTTCTACTCATTTCTAACAATATAACAGTAGCTTCACAGAGCCGTAAAGAGATTGGGAATCCATGGGGTTATACCTTTGTTGTTTCCTCTTCTTTCTCTTGTGTGGTTACCTTTCCTTCCTCAGATGTTACCCTCGTTCATCACCTACTTCCTCAAACAAACATAGATACATACTAGACTTAAGACAACCTCAGAGATTGAAGGCAAGTAGATGAAAACCTTAACGAAAAGATGAATGGATGAGATGAGAGCTTAGAAAAATGCTTACTATGTTGTTTTTTCTTCTTCTACAGAGCTCAAAGGAATGGAGAGGCAAAGAGATGGATCAGATGAAAGCAAGGGAAGTGTTGAATATATGGGTACAAAAACCTAGGAGAAATGACAATGATTGGTTGAGGGTGGGATAGTAATTTGACTTGCTCAATAAAGATCAGACAAAGATTTTTGGTATAAAGTTCATGGCTCACCTTGCATCATGGACCATAATCTAAAAGATGATTTTAAATAGTTTGGGGGTCAAAATATATTTTCTCAAAAATACCTTCTAGACAACCATTTAGTTTAGGTTTCTCGGGTTTCTCCCGGTTTCACTCAGATTGACTTTCGGACCAAAAACTAGATACGCAATGTATCCGAGGATTTAGGATTTTAGATTTAAAATAAGTCCCGGTGTTGAATTTATTTAAAAGTGGCTCAAAATAATTTATTCAAACACCGATTTCATCGCAAAAAATTTTTATAGAGTGACAAATGGCTATTTTGGAATTTCTTAAAAATCGGATTTATAAAATTAAATTTTGGGTTGTCACAAGCATGCCTAGATGTCTAATTGACTTGTTGAGATTATTGCCAAGAATGTTACAGTTTACAAAGCATGTTTACAGAAAATAAGAATATGTTGAGCATTTTGAGTTCAAGAGCATGTTGAATACTTGCTAAGTGTTTGCCAATGAAGATTTGCTAAATTATGATCTATGAGCATGTTTATAGAATTGTTGAGAATTCACAGTGAAGAGATAATTGAAGTTCATTCCACAGTAAAGTGCATATTTGAGCATATCATGTTTTAAAGTGCATAAATGGCCAAAGTGAGCCTAAGTATTATTTTCAAAGACTCATATCTATTTTAGAAAGTCATTTTCTTGTTGCATTGAGAAATTTTTGAGAAGTTATGTTCATAAGCTTGCATAAGTAAAGAAGTTGCATGAGATTTATATGTTATTTATTGTGAGGCAAATAGTATTTTGGAGGCCCGTTAGGATTATGTCCTTTCGGAAGAAAAGAGAAATATCGATTAGAATCGGGAACAGTGAAAGAAAGAAAGTAAAGCAAGAATCGGACATTTCGATCCGATATCATGTAACGCGGCGTATTCCCACGTTACGAGGTTGGAAACTACCCGCCAGGCTTGGAATCCTGGTCAGGGGGTGTGCACACTGATAGTTCGATACCTGATTCCACAGAGTTTGAGAAAAGAACCAAGAGAGTGGTTCTACGGGCGAGATGAGTATTAGGCCGGCTAGATGCCGAGCCCAAATAGGTCTATACACCTTATGGTGAAGTCCTACCTCGCCCATGATTAAAGAAAGCAATCGAGTCAAGAGACTCAAGAAAAAGTAATCAAGTCAAGAGACTCAAGAGAAAGCAACCGAGTCAAGAGACTCAAGAGAAAGCAATCGAGTCAAGAGACTCAAGAGAAAGCAATTGAGTCAAGAGACTCAAGAGAAAGAAAACGAATCATTGTGACTCTAAGAAACCTCCACAAGAAATAGTATTCTTTTACAAAAGAGTGTATATGTAAATCTATCAATATTTATACTAAAAGCATCATGTTCATTTTTATTGCATGATCAAGTATGATTGCACGAGATTGCATAATGAGTATGATTGCACTAGATTGCAGAATGAGTATGATTGCACTAGATTGCATAATGAGTATGATTGCACTAGATTGCATAATGAGTATGATTGCACGAGATTGCATATTGAGTATATGATTGCACTAGATTGCATAATGAGAATGATTGAACGAGATTGCATAATGGGTATGATTGCACTAGATTTCATAATGAGTATGATTGCACGAGATTTCATATTGAGTATATGATTGCACTAGATTGCATAATGAGTATGATTGCACGAGATTGCATAATGAGTATCATTGCACGAGAATGCATAATGAGTATGATTGCACTAGGTTGCATAATGAGTATATGATTGATTGTATATTGAGTATATGATTGCACTAGATTGAATGACGAGTATATGATAGCACGAGCTTGATTTGAGATTATGTGATAGCACAAGATTGCTCGTTGAGTTATGTGTTAGCATGAGATTACTACTGAGTTGTTAGATAGATTTGAGATTATGGATAAGTTAAGTATGTGAAAGTATGAGCTTGGTGTTAAGCTAGATAATTGTGAAAGCATGCCTATTTGTTAATTACGTTGCAAGCATATAGAAACCTTGTTAAGCATGATAAAGTGTTTCCTAAGTGATTGAGAATGCTTGATCTAAGTATGTGAAACAAATGTTTTCCAAAAGTATATACTGTAGTACTTTACAGGGTTGAGTGGAGTTATACTTAGGTTCGTCCTAACATGTTTGTTTTCTACTTGTTGTTTGTTAACCCCTTTCAGGTGGGCCCAGTTCGTGAGAGAGAGTACGATTTAGACTAGACTAGCATTAGTTAGCTTGTGTAGTCTAAAACTCTTGATGTTGATTTACTCTTTTGAGACTTGTATATGATTACCCTATGCTTTTGATGGTGCTGGGCACCGGGGTTTATCCCCTAGTTTGATTGATGTTTAGCAAGATTTTATGATTTAGTTGTTATCCTTAGCATGTGCAATCACCAAGAAGGGTGATTGTGGCGGTGACACCTCTAATTAAGTTGTTTGGTAAGTTTAATCCGCTGCCTTAGCTTACCTTCCAAGGTTAAGTTTGTTAATTAAGTTTAATAAAAGTGGGGTGTTACAAGCCTTACCACTAAGCACAGAGTATTCTCCATGGCAGTTACATCTATTGATGAACCACGTTCATATAATCAAGCCATAAAATCCCAACATTAGAAGGAAGCCATGGCAGCAGAGATCAAAGCGCTTCAGGAGAATAACACTTGGTGTTTGACAGACCTCCCGCCCGGCAAGGTTCCAATCGGATGTAAGTGGGTATATAAGATAAAACTCAGAGCAGATGGTTCAGTGGAGAGGTACAAGGCAAGACTAGTTGCCAAGGGGTATACTCAACAGCTCGGGATTGACTACATCGAGACCTTCTCTCCCGTAGCAAGACTCACTACAATTCGTACATTCTTAGCTTTGGCAACATCACGGGCTTGGCATATTCATCAGCTAGACATCAACAATTCTTTTTTGCATGGTGATTTAGATGAAGAGGTCTACATGCTATTGCCACCCGGATTCGAAGTGGAGAAACCAAACCAAGTTTGCAAGCTTCTAAGATCACTATATGGCCTCAAACAAGCCAGCCGGCAGTGGAATGCAAAGCTTAGCAGTGCTCTATTTAACATGGAGTTCCAACAGTCCGAAGCCGATCCTTCTTCGTTTACCAAGGGGTCTGGTAAGAATTTTGTTGTCATCCTTGTTTATGTTGATGATATCCTTGTCACAAGCCCCAACTTGTAGATGATACAAGATCTTAAAACATATTTGGATGTCACATTCAAGATAAAAGATTTAGGCAGTCTGGGATTCTTTCTGGGAATTGAAGCACACAGAACTAAGGAAGGATTGAATTTGTGTCTACGCAAGTATGCTTTGGATATCCTAAATGAAGCAGGATTTCTTGGCTGTAAACCTGCAAGCACCCCCATGGTTCCAAGCCACATTTTGAGTAAATCAAATGGGACCCCTCTCACTGATGCCAGCACTTATAAACGATTGGTTGGAAGGCTGTTGTACTTAACAGCAACAAGGCCAGACATTGCCTATTCAGTTCAGCAATTAAGCCAATTTGTGGATTCTCCATCAACTCATCACATAACAGCAACACACCGTGTCCTGAGGTATATCAAGAAAGCCCCTAGGCAAGGGCTGTTTTATCCTCAGAACAATGACATGAAGCTCAATATCTTCTCTAATTCGGATTGGGCATCATGCACAGAGACAAGAAAATCAATCACTGGCTTTTATATATTTCTCGGCGCAGCCCTTGTGTCTCGGAGATCAAAGAAACAGGTAACGGTGTCTCGTTCCTCCTCGGAAGCAGAGTATAAAGCTCTTGCCTCCACCGTTTGTGAGGCTCAGTGGCTCATCACTTTACTCAGAGATTTGCTGCTGACATTGAGCAAACCGGCAGCAGTCTTTTGTGATAGCAAGTCAGCCATTGCTACCACTAAAAACCACGTCTTTCACGAGCGTACCAAGCATATAGACATCGACTGTCACGTAGTCCGGGAGAGAGTCACTCAAGGACTAATCAAGCTTCTGGCAGTCCCCTCTTCTGCTCGGATAGCCGATGGATTCACAAAGGCCCTTCCCATTTCCATGTTCTACTCTTTCATCTCTAAGCTGGGTATTCAAGATCTCCATACTCCAGCTTACGGGGGGTAATAAGGGATAGCAGTGCACATGACAAGAAAGTTGAAGCTCAGCTACCAGTTGAGGAAGACAACACAAAGGGCATTAGTGTAATCTGTGAATAAGTGTCTGTTATAACGGTTTACCCTCTGTATATAAGCCTTTGTGTAAAGCTCTGAATTGTTATCTTGAATAATATCTTTCACCCTGCTTTCTTCTCATCTCTCTTTCTCATGTAACCGCTGTGCGTCACAGTACTTGAAAAAAGAGACCAATGTTCGAAATTCAATAGTGGCAGTGTATGAATTATGCTTAAAGTGGGTAGATCCCTTGTGTCCATCTGCATTTGACCATATCCGCTAAACCACTGCATTACTATGATTTACATCCTCTCACATGTCCTGTCGAACCAGGGTGTGAGGGGTTCTTAGGATTGGGGATTCAACCTTTTATGGGAAGAAGTAAATACCTCCCTAACTCTTATTGCCTCCCCACCCTCCCCCCACCCCTCACCACATTGCAGTCCATCCCACTCATCTTGTATTTTGAGCTTCTCCCTATCTGTAAAAATATCTTGCAAAATCTATTGGTCCCAATTATTCCCCTATTTGGTCATCAACAAGACAATCATAGCACTCACTAGAGGGGTCGACTTCACAGGTATCAATATAGGGATTGGTAATGTTATGTACTTCAGGCTGGACAAATTTGTCAATAAACCAATATAAGGTACATTTTTAATATACTAAGGGGCCGTTTGATTCACAGAATGTTAGATTGCTGGGAATGTTACATTATTGGAAATGTTAAATTTCTGTGTTTGGTTAAAATTGAAGTATGTAATATAATCATGTTTGGTTTAGGATTATATATATATATATATATATATATATATATATATATATATATATATATATATATATATATATATATATATATATATAGGATTATTTTCAAATACAAACCTCCCTTAAAACCCACCTTAAAATACAAACTGTGTGCATGTAAATATATTAATGTGTGCACAAGCTAATCCCAGATATTGTTGGCAGTGTGGCCAGTGTGTATGTAAGTATGTTAATGTGTGCACGAGCTTTGATGGATGGTTGTGATTTTTTGCTCCTACGCACTGTGTGCATGTAACTATGTTAATGTGTGCACGAGCTTTGATGGATGACTGTGATTTTTCCTCATACGCGCTATGTGCATGTAAGTATGTTAATGTGTGCACGAACTCAAGTTTGTATTTTAAGGGGGGGTTTATATTTTTAGGAGGTTTGTATTTGAATGCAACCCTCTATATATATATATATATATATATATATATATATATATATATATATACAAAAGCTAACATAAATATATATTTTTAAATAATTAGAATTAAAATGATAAAATTTATAAATACCTAAGGTTATCTTACATAACCTAAGAAAAGGAAGGGAATCACATTCCCTTCAAAATCCTATGTGGAGGGAATGTTAGATTCCCTAAGATAATATGAACCAAGCATAGGAATGTAAGGTTTGGAATGTTACATTCCCTTGGTTATGTTATATAACCTGAACCAAACGCTCTCTAAAAGTACATTATTTATGTACAGAATATACATTTTTTATAGTATATAAAATAATATACTGTCAGTACTCATACTACCTGATGTGACTCTGCAGTGAGATTCTTGTACTATAAGGTTTTATTCAATTTAGTGCATGTATTTTAAAATTTGGTATTAAGTACAATAATTAACTGATGAGGACATCACACAAGGAGACTCAAGTTCATTAGCTCAACACGAAAATAGGACGCAAGATCCATTACAAGTGCAGGTTGGTCCTATGACACGAGCTCGGACTGCAAGGGTACGTGAGGCCATTTGTGCGTGGATAGAGAAGATTGAATGGAACAAAATTTATTCCTTTACAAAGGAGAATGGAGGAGAAAGTATGACCAGCAAAGGAGAAGGCCAATACTACCATATTATTACACTTAAAGAAGGCTAATGATAGCAGCACAAAGGACCGTATAAATGAGACATCATCACATTATTTATAACTTATGTTAGGCTAAGTTCATATGTAATTATTTTAGCATAAGTTATTTTCTGAATTTTAGACTTCCAGCACAAATAAATAGGCTAGGACAAGTTTGAGAACACATAGTCTTCTTGTAGTTACAAGAACACTAAGTCAAACACAAATATAGGATCATACAACCACTAGGAAGAATTTCTCTCCTTGTGGGGGCTGAATTGTGTGGTTTTCCTTGCTTGAATAAGTGTATTTAAACCCCTCTATGTCTACTTTGAGGGACAGATTATGAATGAGACAATTGAGTTAGCTTTTGCTTACTTCCAACTCTTGTGTTACATAGAGTCACCTCTAGAAGCTGTGAAGTGCATGCTGTGATTGTGTGTATGTAAGCTTCTATTTTCCTTCGTGTGATGCGAAGCTTCTATCCAAAAGAAAATCCTATCATACATTAAGTTTTTAGCCTTCCAAGAGCCACGTCCCTTTCACCCAAAACAACATCCAAAACACTTCGTGAAGAACCATACATAACGTGAAGCCTCCTGGCTGAGTTTTAGCACAGAACGGAGTGGAACGAGATGAAGATTTGACACGAACCATATCATCTATTTTGGTATCAAAGCCAAGTTGTCATCCTCATCAAAATCAGGTTATAAATCACTCCTTTACTTTACGATTCTTGCAAGAAAACATGCCTATTGTTAAGTCTGCCAGAAATTTATCATTTGCGCATTCGGAAAAAAAAAATTCAAAAAAAATAGTTCCCTTTGTTGTTTTGATCTGAATTTTTTCTTGGTAGTAGATAACTCATACATGTTTCCTTCCATGTAAAAATTTGTCCAAAAAGATTCATACTTAATCACAGAAAATTCATTGAATACCGGCCAACTACTGTTTCAGTTTCTGCCAAATTTCAGCCTGCACTGTTTGAAAGAAAAATTCCAAAAAGAATACCTCCGTGTCTTATTTTGCCCTGAAATTTTTTGGGGAAGTTTTATACTCATAATACCATAAACCTTGAAATTTTCCAGTCAAAAACATTAGCCAATATTTCCCAGAAATTTCATGAAGTTACATCCAGATTTGGTGACTTGTTGCCAAAAACTGCTTTGTGATTCTGTAGTGTTGAAATAATCTTAGTTGTTATCTTGTTGTTTACCTTTTTTTGCTCTATCAAAAAAAGTCAAAAGTGAAAATCCCCGTAATGAAATATGAAACCTTAAAGAATCTTGTTGAGAGTGTATCTTCTTGCTTTTAGCAGTCCCAAATCTAATATAGGCTTGCATGCACCAATTGTAGTGTCAACTTTACACACTTTGTGTAACACTGTGAGAGCGGAAGAGCAGGGCTATTGGTGAGTATAGTGGTGTGAGGGATTAAACACGAGAGCGAGCTTTGAGTGTCCAGAAAAGTGAGTGAGGAAAGGGAGAGAAGTGAGGTCCAATCTCTTTTATTTCTGCTAACATTTTTGAAGGTTACAATGTCAAGTCCAGAACACAACCAAGATGTAAATGCTACGCTTAGATCCATGCAGCAACAATTTCAAAGGTTTAATGTTGTCTTCGATGGCATTAGAGACCAACTAGAATTACAAAACGCTGCTATCAAGGAACTTAGGCTGCAAGGCAGACCGGAATCCGAGAGGGGGGAAGGAAGTGTTAGAGGTGGTAGAAGAAATCCTAGGGGAATTGGGAGAGAAGAAGAAGAAGATGATGGGGAGGAAGAAACGTTTGAAAGGGGTAGAAGGGGATTTAGAAATATGAGGGACCATGACGAGAGGGATGATAACATAGGAAGCATTAAAATGCGTATCCCTTCTTTCCATGGGAAAAATGACCCCGAGGCTTATATTGAGTGGGAAAAGAGGGTAGAAAGAGTGTTTGATTGTCATCACTATTCTAAGAGGAAGAGGGTGAGCTTGGCAATAGTTGAGTTCAAGGACTATGCCAACACTTGGTGGGATAATTTAGTAATGAGTAGGAGAAGGAATGGTGAGGGCACAATTGTTACCTGGCGTGAGATGAAAGCTGTGATGAGGAAGAGATTTGTACCAGCTTGGTATCACAGAGAGCTTTATCAAAAGCTCCAAAGTATTCTCCAAGGCTCTATGAGTGTTGTTGAATATGATCAAGAATTGGAGACCCTTTTGTCAAGACTCCGCATAGATGAAGATGAAGAAGCGAAGATGGCCAGATTCCTTAAGGGCCTAAATCACGACATTGCTGACATCATGGAACGGACACCTTATCTTGATTATGATGAATTGTTTCAACTTGCTGTGAAAGTTGAGAAACAAATACGAAGAAGAAGATATGAACATAACTAGCCAAGAGAACAAACCAAGCAATGGCGGACTGTTGGTCCCAAAAGAGGTAAGGTGAAAGTCTAGAGGGGGGGGGGTGAATAGACTTTCAAACTTTTTCGCACAGCACAACAATTGCTAAGCCAGAGATAAACCAAAACTCTTAACTAGATTGTTAGAGTATGGTGCACAATGGAAATAAATAAACATAAAGTGTGTGTGAGATTGTGTGATCAGTATATCTCGTGTAGAGCGAATATGTAAAGAGCGGTAAGTAAAGAAAGCAGTAAAGAACACAAGACAATTATAGTGGTTCGCGAGGTGGTGTAATCCTCCTACTCCACTTGCTCTTATCTCCAAGAGCAATTCACTATATCTACCACTTCTTGGTTCCAAGATACAATGAATTTCCGTGATCTAGTGCTTTGATCACAAAGCCCGCACTAATCACGCCCAGTGACACCACACTGCTGCTTCGGGTTTCACGTCGCCGCGCTACTATCCCAGGATTTCACGACTCCGCGTTACTTTCCCCCCGTCTTCCACACTCCGGTAGAAACGTATCCCGTGATTTGGTGCTTTGATCACCAAGCTCACACCAATCACGCCCAGTTCCTCCGACACTGCTGCTTCGGATCTCACAGCTCCGTGTGACAATCCAGGATTTCACAGCTCCGTGCTACTTTCCTCCCTTCTCTTGT